ACTTTCTTTCAGAAAAAGAGCACTTCCTTTTAAAAGGGCAAAATTTTAAATGTCATTGTCTAATAATGCTGGCAAATGATAATTCCTCCTTAATTTTGCTTGTCCATTTTTAAAAATCTGAGTAGCCCTTTTTAAAAATAAATCTATATTTATTAGAAAAATACTTCATTCAAAGATTATCTACTTGGAACTGCAGCTCAGAGAGTCCCAAACTCTCATTTAAAATTTTTTAAATAAGTATGTATGGCTTATGTGGTATTATTTACTATTTATTTACCGTGTCACTTATATGCAACATATGGGCATTATAACTTTTGTATGTCATCTTATTGACTCAGGAATCTAAATTAAAAATACTATCTAATAGCCAAAAGAAAAACTAAATCAGTAGTTGCATTTAACGTGGGTTTTTGGTGGGTGTGCTAGAAATTGCATTGAGATATAAAGTATCATCTGTTTAGAAAAGCTTGGGAAGTGATTTCTTCTCAAGAAAATATGTAGTAGCAGAAAGAACACTAACTTTTGGAGTAGGGTCATCCAAGATTTGAATCTTGGCCCTGCCATTTTCTAGCAGTGGAGTTCCAGGTACATTATTTAATCTTTTTGAACCTTTCTGTCTTTGTGAAGTGGGAATAATAATATCAGCTTTGTAGAGTTTGGTGATAATAAATGAATGGCAAAAAGTCAGAGTACTTGTTTAATACAGTGCTTGTGTTACAATCTGAATGTATGCTCAACTGGTTTCTCTCCACACCAATGAATCGAGAGGCAGGGAAATGGCAGAAAGAAGTTTCTTTCTGAATTCAGAATCCAGGGAGACAGAACCTGACTCCTGGCATTTCTGGAACTGCTTAGCTCGCTTCTTAGGCTTAACAGTCCGTTTTTATAAGTTTAGGGTTGCTGATCCCTATATATTGACTATGAGACTGACTGAGGAAGCATCGTATAGAAAGAACTCAAGTTACAGCCACATTTTGTTAATAGTAGCATTTATGGTTTGCATTTCCTGGCACCAACTACCAAAACGTAGCTCACAGTGCTATCAGTAGTACCAAATTGAAGAGTTGAATAAACTTGCCATAGAGTAAGGGAGTTAGCAGAGCCTATTACAAGGTAAAACATTATTCACTATGACATATTGTTGATTAGTTGTTATAACACGCAAACAGTTATATAAATTACAAGGCTTATGGTCACATGGGTGCTATATTTTCAAATCTATGACCACTAATAAAAGGAAGTGAATAGAGATTCATTTCTCTCAGTTGAGTGCGCTCAGTCTGCAGAAGGTCAGGGGTTTCTTGAAGTGACTTAACAGAGAATGTATAGGAGATAAAGGAATATGCCTTGAAACAACTGTTTTGAAGAAGAAATCCCATTTTATCTTATTAATATCTTTTAAATTATGTATATTACACATAAATTGCCTAGTCTAAACAAAAATAATGTATTTGAAGCAAAAAGGGAAAATTGACTTTTTCTCCCAGTCTCCACCATGACCAGTTATATTCCAATCTTATTTTCCTAATGATAAACATTCTAAGAAGATCTGCATCTATGTATCTACACCTTACTCTGTGCTGTTATACCACAGTTTGTTTCAGCATATATAGATTCATTTTGCAAATATTCTGCATCTTTATTTGAAATTAGAATCTACCTCAGTATATTTAACAGTTGTTTGGTATTCTATAGGGTGGATGTTCCATAATTAACCATTTCCCTGCCAATGCTTCCCAGACAGAGGTACCAGGCACACATCTGTGGTTGAACAAGTTGGATTTATTACCTTTGCAGCAAGCAAGATTACACGCCTTGGGGAACCACAGGGTGTCTCAGTAAGACTTAGAATCAGTGCTATTATAGGGTTGGGCTTGTGTTGGGTGATTGGGAGGGCGATTTGGGAGGGAGAGTTTAAGAAAGTAAGCCTTTTCTCTGCGTTGGATACTGTCAGGAAACTGGTTGATTATGTGATGGATATCTTAATCAGTTTTATCTAGAAGGAAAGAAGAGTAGACTGAGGCTCAAACTATAATTAATACAGAAGCTGCAGCCGCTTATATTGGCCTGGTCATGTTCATATTTGACAAGCTTATAGCAAAGCAAAGGCCTGACTGATGCCATCCAATCAGCTTCACAATGTCAGGGGCTGCTTTTTTTTCCTACTTACTTGATTGATAAAAACTTAGGTTGTTTTTCCTAGATTTTCATTTTCATTGTTAAAATGAACGTTCATATTGCATGGATCTTTGAGTACATGTGCAGTTACTCTTACAAAATAAATTCCTACAGGTGGAATTGTAGCAAAGCGTATATAAGATATCATAAAATTTGAATTATAATCATCTCCAAAAAGCCTATACTTATTTCTGCTTCCACCAACAGAGCACCTTAGCCAAGAACAGCCATTACTGGTCTAAGATTTTTTTTTTTGTCTAATGGGATAATCTTATTATTTTTATTCATATTTTTTTGCTGGTGAATTTGGGCTTTTTTTAAACGATAGTTTTCCTGTTCATATTCTTTCCCCATATAAATATTTTAGGTAATCATATATTTCATGTTAAGTTCTGAGGGCTCTTTTTATGTTATGGATATTAGTCCCCAATTATATTTGTTACAAATATTTTTCTCCCTGTGTCCTACATGTCTTTTATATAAACACAGGAAGACTTTCTTCACTCTGAAATTATAAAAACATTAGTAACCTCCCAACAAAGTCAGTTTACTTCTCCTTCAATACATTCAGGTAATTGTTCTATCTGGAATGTGGAATGGTATGAGGGAGAGATTTAGTTTAATTTTTCCCGAAGTTCTTCAGTGTCCCAATAACATTTGTTGACTAGTTCGTTTTTTTCCCACTAGTTGGAAATACCACATCGTGTTCTAAATGATATGACCCACAGTAAAATTTCTCTTACTTAACCTCCACTTAGCTGACTGACTAGATTAACAGATATTCTCTATTCTCTTTGTAAAACATAGTCTGGAGACTACAGTAAGCTTAATATTTACTACCGAAAGTCTGCTCAGTGCTATGCTGATATAGTTCCTACTTGTTTACATCACTAATATTGAGATTTGATTATTCTAGAAACTATTCCTTCCTTCCTTCCTTTCAGTTTTTGAGTTGGAGGCCTTACTCTGTTGCCCAGACTGGAGTGCAGTGGCATGATTGTGGCTCACCACAACCTTGCCCTGCTGGTTTCTGCTGATCCTTCTGTCTCTGACTCCCAAGTTCCTGAGACTACAGGTGCATACTACTATGCCTAGTTAATTTTTTAATCTTTTTGAAGAGACGGGGTCTCACTATGTTGCTCAAGCTGGCCCTGAACTCCTGGGCTCAAGCAGTCCTTCCACCTCAGCTTCCCAGGCTACTATACCCAACCTGATTATTCTAAAAACTTAATGCAAGCTGTGCACTCATTATTTAATTCAATATAATGTAAATCAGTAAAATATGAGTAAGAAAGGAAGAAAATGTGCAGTTTCAAAGAAAGCTGAATTGGGTGCTTTAGAAAGAAAAAATAGGCAACTAAAATTTTTGTGGTTAGTAAGGATATTGCATATTGTTTATTTAAATTTTATAATGTATACATAGATTTGACAGTTCTAGGAACAGGGAGTGAAATGTGTGAAGCAAGGATTATTTTTGTTCTGTAGAAGAATCTGTTAACTGACAGCTAAACGTTAGCAACAACAAATTGTTGACTTAAGTATAGTTTGATGTATGAAAGTTTATTTTCTGAATTACAGACTTTTAAAATGTTTTCTTATAAAACATTTTAATGATATAATTGCCTTAATCCACTTGTAGTGCTGTAGTAAAATACCTGAGACTGAGTAATTTATAAAGAAGAGAAATTTGTTTATTCCAGTTTTGGTGACTGGGAAGTTCAAGGTCAAGGTAGCAACAGGTTTGGTGTCTGGTGAGGGTTAGGTTTTTGCTTCCAAGATGGTTCCTTGAACACTATGTACTCTGGTAAGGATGAACACTAAGTCTAACGTGGCAGAAGGCAAAGGGGCAAAAGGTACAAACTCTCTCCTTCAAGTCCTTTTAAAGGGCATCTAATCCCATATCAGAAGGGTGTAGCCCTCATGATCTAGTCATCTCCCAGAGACCCCACCTTCTGGTGCGATCACCTTGGTGATTGGGTTTTTGACACGAATTTTGGAGAGGGCACCACTTTCCAGCCATAGCAGCAGCCATCTTATAGCTTTAAATTAAAAGGATATAGACACAACTAAAATTTGTTAACAAAAATCTAGTAGTCTAAACGTATGTGTCTGTAGGCATTTTGAACATGATATAGTATTTCTAATTAGTTAAAAATACTGATCATTACCTATAAAATTAAGAAAATGAAAACCAGATTACTACATTGTATTAGTCATCCGTTGTTGTGTAACAACTTCAAAACTTAGTGACTTGAAACAATAGCCATTTATCATCTCACACAGTTTCTGTGATCAGAAATGAAGGAGGAGGAATTTAGGTACCCAAAGTTTAGGAGGAATTTAGGTAGTCTGGCTCAAGATTCTCATGAGATTGTAGCCAAGATATCAGTAGGAACTGCACTAGTCTAAAGGCTTGACTAGAGCTCAAAGATATATTTCCAAAACGATTAACTCATAGAATAGTGATTACTGGCAGGAACCTTTAGTTCTTCCCTATGTGGATCTATGCTATACCTTAAGCACATGCACAACATGGTAGCTAGTCCTCAGAGTGTGCAGTCCAAGGGAGAGCAGGATAGGAGATGTAAAGTCTTTTATGACCTAGTCCTAGAAGTCACACAGCATCTGTCACATCCACTGTATTTTGTGCATTAGAAGTGAATCAGTAGAATAGCTTATACTCAAAGGGATGGGGAATAGACTCCAACTCTTAAAGAGGAGAGAAACCACTACACTGCACTATACAGCAAATAACTCTTTTGTATGTGTATGGACCAAAGAATAAGAAGGGAGTCACTTATAATGTTTGGCTTTCTTTTTAGGACACTGCCTTAGGAAAACCACGAGAAGTATTTCGACTTCCTACAGATTTGACAGCATATGACAATCGCCTTTGTGCATGTATCCATTTTACATCATCTACTTGGGTTACGTTGTCGGATGGAACTGGAAGATTATATGTCATTGGAACAGGTGAACGTGGAAATAGTGCTTCTGAAAAATGGGAGGTGAGTTTTTTTTTTTGACTTATGCTAAGTCCAGGAATTATATGTAAATTATATTTTACTTATTTTAAAATGACACTTTCCAAGGATCATTGCATGTGATCTCTTGGTTTTTCTGATGTATGATCGTTTTGTCAGATCTACAGAAGCCTATAAAGACTAGGCTTTGGTTATTTGAGAAAAACCATGAATGCCTTAGAACCAAATGGTTTACCTATCTTACTAAGTTATACCAAATGTTATACTGCCAAATTATAGTTTGTTCAAAAACTAAACAAAAGCACAGTAAATAACCAGAATGTCAGTAACCTGTTTACAAGAGCCTGTTGCTTTCACAGTTTCAAATATTCATTGGATACTGACATTTTCTATTCTGGCCTCCAGTAATAACTTTTTTTTAAAAAAATCTGAGGTAATGTGGCATATAGCATGGCTACCTGAAACAATTGGAAGGTGTTTTAAGAATGATAGGAGATACAGGAATGAGAATTTACCTGTTATTGAACTGTGCAGCGGGTTTTGAGCAGGAATCGACAACTGACTTGGCTCACTTTCAACTTAAAAATCATACCACACATATCACTAGAAGGAGATTCATATGGATGCAAAATTCTACTGGTTTTGCAGTACACGCTACATATTGCACTTGAGATGCTGGGCTTGTTCAGAAGACGAGAAGCTTCACCCTAACAATTTTTAAAGTCCAGATATGTGCTGTTCCTCTGGTCTCATTTCAGTTCTTTTCACTCATAGGAGAAAAAAAAAAAGAAACAACAGTTTAGCTCCTTGTATCTGCTAAGACTTAATGTTTTCCTTTTACCTTTTTGTTTCCACCATTCCCCAAACAAAAGCACCCAATCAGCTGTAAGACTTAACCCAATCGAATGTAAGACCAAAAATCTCTCTTTGTCTGTCATCTCTGTTTTGAGTATTTGAGGGGTTGTTTGGTTTTGGTTTTGTTTGTTTTCTGCTTATAGAAGTCATCAGGTGGATGCCAAAGATCTACTACATGAATAATTTTGACAGAAGTGCTCAAATACATCAGGAAATGAATGACTTAAAGCATACTTTTTTTTTTTAATTAGGCTTTCAAGTAGGAGTAGGTATAAGGGAATTTCAGATAAAAGACTTTAAAAAATTAACTAGCTTTATTTTTCAGTTAGGATTTTTTTTAATTATTTGTTTTTTCATATATTTGGAAATCTTGTTTAGGAAGCTATCTTAAAACCTTCACTATTTAGTATTTACTCAAATAAATATATAATAGTCTTTTAGATTATGCATTTGTGGCATGAAAAAGAGAATTTGATAGAATTTTGTATCTTTGTGTGGTGCCTAAATTTGCTTTCTGAAAAGTACCTCAGGATTATATTTTAAATTTTGCTTGCTTGTTAAATTATCTTTTAAATGTAAATAAGCGCTTTTATTTTTGAGCAATAAGAAAGTTTTGGTGATTTGTTCTCCAGTGCTCTTGACTTCCAGAAAATAAACAGAAAAACAAAAGAAAACAATAGGGAAAAAGCATACATTTGTGTACCTGCACAGAAACTATCATATATGAGACAGGGGATGAGATGGAGGAATGAACGTTGACCTGCCCAGGTCCTCTCCTTTTGTGTAGAACACTTTTTTTCACTTGATAATTCTTTTCTAGAAGATTTTCTAGAAGAGTTCCCTTTCTCCTTTAGGATGTCTTTTTGTTTTCCCTGTTTTTAAGCCAAGATTACTGATCATTTTTCTCTGTTGTACAAATAGTTTTTTTGAAAGTTCTTTCTTTAAGGAACATTATTTTAACTTGCAGCCTTTATTTAAAGGCCTTTTTATTTTTTAATTCCTTGTAATAAATAGTATCCAAAGTAACTGTTGGATTGCCAGAATTCTACATACACCCTCTGTGGTATCTATGTATCTATGTTCATGTGATTATGTACTTTTTTGTGTGTAATTTTTTTTTAGATTATGTTTAATGAAGAGCTCGGGAATCCTTTTATCATAATTCACAGTATCTTATTGCTACAAGCTGAAGAACATTCAATATCTACCCTACTTCTTCGAATAGAGAAAGAGGAATCAGATATGAAAGGAAGTGGTTTCTATGTTTCTTTGGAGTGGGTCACTATCAGTAAGAAAAACAAAGGTAAAAAAAAAAAAAACCCAAATTCTGAGTCTCTCACTAGTGGTCACCATCATTTTATAGGTTTTGAAATGCAACTGTCCCTATAAATGCTGTTTACTAGGACTTGCCACCTCTGGTGGAATGAGTATCTGTAGATAGTTTCTCCTCAGGTGAGGTTTATAGAAAAAGTAGTAATGTGCTTCCACAGCCAGTTATGCCTTTTGTATAAAGGGAGACATCATTTAGTTTTTGAAGACTTTGACATGTATATTTTTAATATATGCAAGAATATATATATAAAACTAAATGTAAATTAATGATAGGTGACAGTGTAATTTAAATACAAATAAATATAAATACCTAGATGGAAGTTAATACCTTTATTTCACAGAATTGCAAGTGTGATTTCTTTATCATTTGTTTCTACCTTTAGGAAGAATGTTGCTTTTTCTCACTTGATGTACTTCCATATGTAGAAAAGTCCTGAACCTTGCTCTATTTGAAGCTATCAGTCTTCTAACTTGACATTAAAAATTACTTTCTCATGAATTAATTACAATTTCATTAATTATGTGAGCTTGGTCTTGTCTTTGCTGAGTTCTTACTCACTCACCAAATGCTTTTTTTCCTAGTTGAGAACTAAGGGAGCTTGTTTCTATGATGACTCTTGCTCTTTTTCTCAGTTTTTATTTGCTTACTAATTTATGGATAAGTTAACTTGAGTTAAATTGTCATTCATCTTTGTAGAAAATGTTTTTTGACCATAGCTGCTAGTTTACAATGTGAAAAAAAGACTATTAGTATTTGTTTCCCAGAAGGGCTTTCTCTTTTATTCTAAAATGAACAACAACTTCATTTATATCTATATACAATATAGATATAACAAAATAGTTTATAAGTAAACTGAATAAGTCTCCTAGATTTGTTCTTTTAAGTATTTAATGTAATTTATTTGTTCTCCTCATTGTAGTTTCATCTCTAGAGGAACACAGTAACTTAAAAGGTGCTGGAAAACTATTTGTTTAAAAATCAATTTTGACGTGTTTATTCAGTGAAATATAATATAATGAACGTAAATATGCTACAACTACATACAAAAATATAAATGCATCTCACAAACATAAATTTGGTAAAGTCAGCCATATATGGAAGATGACATACTTTAGGATTCCATTTATATAAAGGTTCAAAAACAGACTGGGTGCAGTGACTCCCGCCTTTAATCCCAGCATTTTGGAAGGCCAAGATGGGAGGATTGCTTGAGCCCAGGAGTTCAAAACCAGCTTAGACAACATAGTGTGACCTCATCTCCACAAAAAAATTGAAAAATTAGCGGGACATGATGATGTGTGCCTGTAATCTCAGCTACTTGGGAGGCTGAGGTGGAAGGATCACCTGAGCCAAGGAGATTGAGGCTGTGGTGAACTATGATTGTGCCACTGCCTTCCAACCTAGGTGACAGATTGAGACTCAGACGCATAAAAATAAAAAGTTTAAACAGTCTGGGTTTGGTGAAATTTAATTTTAATTCTTCCAGATTTACTGAATTTACGCGGATTCCCACAGAAAGTATCTTGAATCCATGAAGTTCCATACACTGTCTTTTAAGCCATAAGAAGGATTGGTAATACACTACTTCTTAAGAATTTGCTTCAAGTTCTAAGTCACCACTTTCTTCTAAAAGTTTGCTCCAAGCTGCTGCTGCTTCTTCTCTGAAAGGTTTTCATTAGTACTTGACTGATTTTACCAGAAGGTTTCAAATTAAGATTTTCTGATATAATCAGGATAACTTTTTTTTAATGGCACAAGTGGTAACTATCCAGTTATATACCTTTGTGGTCCAAAAGCAGCCATAATATACACACATATAAATGATTAAGTGTAGCTGTGTTCCAATAATACTTTATGGATACTGAAATGTGAATTTCATATAATTTTTACATGTGTTTAAATATATTCTTTTGGGTTTTTCTATTTAAAAATATTTAAAACCACTTAATAAGTCATACTTAGTTCCCAGGCTATACGAAAATCGGCCAAGATTCAGCTTTGGCTCATGGGTCGTGGTTTGCAGACCCTTACTTTAGATAATGGAAACTTAATTTTTTTAAGGTACATAATTCAACATCTTACAGGAGAAATCATCATGCGTTTTCCTCCTGCCTTCTCCAAGACACCTGGTTCTGTAACATCCAACCACAGTGACTCATCTGGTTGCCCGGAATGTGTTAGGACTCTGCTCTTGCTCCCTCATTGCCATCCCCTTTTCCTGGTCTCAGCTAGACAGACAGACGTAGACTTCTCTTTTTGCTCTGAAGATTGTAATTGTAACATTAATTCTATTTATGATTTTTTTTATCTTTCTCTTCTTATATCTTGTTCCTTTTCCTCCCCATTACTAATGTAAATGTAATACTATTTCTTTTGCTATTTAATTATCCCAACAGAGCATTGTTTTTCTAAACTGTGTTGAGTGAAACTTTCATAAATTATTTTTGTGGTTAAATAAGTTTGGAAATGTGGACATTCAATATCCCTATTACACATTAAGTATATTAAAGTTTCTAAAGATTTTGAGTAAAAAAGAAAATTTAATCTTAACTCAGTGTTTCCCAACTTATTTAATTATGGAATCCACTTTTTGTGACCTATTATTTTCTGTCCTACACATGTTGGGAAAGACTACCCTATAAACATCTAGTGTCTAAGTTTGGCTATTTTTGGAAGTCTTTGTCCTGCATGTACCCTTGGAGGTACATTAGGAGTTTTTGGTTCATTCATGAAATTACAAGCTTGTTCTTAACTATGGGCGAATTGAATTTGTGAATGTACGTGAGGATTTAGAGTAAAAGCAGTGAAAAAGATTTAGAACTGTTGGTATTGTTATGAAATTCATGACATTTAGTTTTGATTTTTTGACCACTCAATATGAAACTTATAAGTACAAGATGCTTTTAATAGAGTAACAATATAAGTAAAGGTATGGACTCAGCTAAAATGTTTGAGGCAAAATTTTTTTAAAACAAAAAATAACCCATCTTTATAGAAGAATGCATTTGATTAATTTACCAAAAACTTTAGGGATACAACTAATGATTTAGATCTTAATAGTTATTGGTACCATGAATTTGCATTCAATTATAGTAGGCATGTAGGTATATCTGAATGTGTTTAAAAAATATTTTAAGGCCAGATGCATTAACTCACACCTGTAATCCCAGCACTTTGGGAGGTGAAGGCAAGAGGATTGCCTGAGCCCAGGTGTTTGAGACCAGCCTGGGCAACTTGATGAGACCTTGTCTCTACAATAAATAAAAAAATTAACCAGGTATGGTGGCGCGTGCCTATGGTTCCAGCTACTTAGATGACTGAGGCGGAAAGATCCCCTGAGCCCAGGAGATCAAGGCTGCAGTAGCTGTGAGTGTGTCTCTGCACTCCAGCCTGGGTGACAGAGTGAGACGCTGACTAAAAATAAAAAAAAAAGTCTTTTCTAATATATTTTAAGAAAATCCCTTAGCAGTAATTAGAGCAGACAGAAGGTCTGCACCAGGGGTCCCCAACCTCCGGGCCACGGACAGGTACTGGTTTGCAGCGTTTTAGGAACCAGATCGCACAGCAGGTGAGTGGCCAGCAAGTGAGTGAAGATTTACCTTTTTACATCTGCTCCCCATAGCTGACGTTACTGCCTGAGTTCCTCCTCCTGTCAGATCAGTGGCAACATAGAATCATATAGGAGCATGACCCTATTGTGAACTGTGTATGCGAGGGGCCTTGGTTGCATTCTTCTTCTGAGAATCTAATGTCTGATGACCTGAGGTGGAACTAAGGTGGTGATGCTATCACTGGGGAACAGCTGCAAATACAGATTAACATTAGCAGTGAGGTTTGACTGCACAGAGACCATAATAAATCAGTTGCTTGCGGACTCATATCAAAGCCTATCAGTGAGTGCACAATAAATGTAATGCACTTGAATCATCTTGAAACCATCTCCCTCTGTCCATGGAAAAATTGTCATGGGAAACTGGTCCCTAATGCCAAAACGGTTGGGAGCTGCTGGTCTACACTGCACCCTTTCCCTCATCCTCAATTTGTGACTTTTCTCAAAAGATGCATATCATATCCCTGCTAGAAGAGTAGCCAGGTTTTAGTCAAGGAGAGGTAGGTTCTTCGGAAGCTGATATTCAAAGTAAGACAGGCTTTCTGAAGGTCTATAGTACTACTGTATAATAGAAATTTCTACTGGAGATGGACATATTTTATATATGTGCCATTCACGATGATAGCTACTAGCCATGTGGCCATTGAGCAGTTAAAATGTGGCTAGTGTGACTGAGGAATTGAATTTAACTTAATTAAATAATCACTTGTGTCCAGTGGCTACTATATTGGGTAGAACAATTTAGAGCAGATTTCATTAGACCTAGTATTTTATAATAGAGATTTAGTTACAGAAAATTAGAGTATAACTTTTTTATCTTTATGAAAATACCCTTAATAGTGTGCTTTTTAATAGTGCATTTTAAATATGTAATTATTCCTGATTGATACAGTGGTAAGTAAAAAAAATTAAAAATTAAATTATTTAACATAATAAAAATTAATATTTAAATATCTTCAGAATATTTTTAAATTATTTTATTTTAAAGATATGAGATATAACAGAATATTTTTAGAAATTTTACAACAGAATATAGTTTTTATTTGTAATGTTTTTTCTAAAGTACTTTATTTTCTTACAGATAATCAAAAATATGAAATTATTAAGCGTGATGTTCTCCATGGAAAGTCAGTGCCAAATTATGCTGCTATTGAACCTGATGGAAATGGTCTAATGATTGTCTCCTACAAGTCTTTCAAATTTATTCAGGCTAGTCCAGATCTTGAAGAAAATATGAATAAAGACATGTCAGAGGAAATCAAAGGTAATTTTACTTTTAATCTTCATAGAGCTCATGTATATTTATGTAAATACATATTTATGTCTGTTTTGTTTCTCAGGTTATGGGTTCTAGCAGGGCAAGATAAATTTTTTAAAATTTAAAATTTTTTAAATTTTCTTTTGTATTTCCCAGAAGAGTCTTTTGTGAAATATACCATCTAAATAGTGCCAACTGGTTTAATTTAATGATTTTATTATTACCAAAAATCTTTTTAAAAAATCTTTTAAAAAATTAGTTTACTTGGTTAGATGTTTAGTAAATGCTTATTAAATAAATAAATAATATGTATTTGCTGTTGGTATTTGAGAAGCCAGTATGACTAGTATTGAAGTTAATCTTTTAAAATAAAATAAATTAATGTACATGTTCTTTTTATACTAAACTAAAAGAAAGTTCCTTGAGGACAGAATCACTAAGGTTTTTCAGTGTTGAATGATTGAAAGTCATGTTTCAGAATGAAAGAATTAACAAGATCTTTCAGAAGAGACTTATATTTGTATGTAAAGAGTACATATTTTTTAAAGCTATTTGAAAAACATCCATTTCTAATCATTTCTGTTCATATTTCTGATATTTATAGCCAGTGAATAGTATATTTTACTTAACAGAGCTTATTGCAATATTTAACAACTATACTTATTGTTCTTTAAATCTACCTCTTTTGTTAAAAAAACTATCTAAAATAAAAATCAGTTTTACTATTTTATATTTACTATTTAATATTTTTATATATTTTTTTAAAATGAGTTATTTGAAAATATTAATGTAATAAATATTTGAAAAATATTTTATTTAGATTTATAAATATATGCATCTCTAAATGCAAAATAATTTTGTGCTCAGTGGCCTTTTTTTAGCCTTAGTTTTGTCATATGTGATTTGTTTTATTGTTAGATTACCTCAAAGATCCCTTTCCAAGCAAATTTCACTGTTTTATCTTAATTATAATGTAAAACTTTAGTCCTAAAGTTTAGCCAAATAGTTATTCGCATCCCAAGGCCTTTAGACCTCCTTTGGTGAGTAATTTTGAAGGAATGAATGAATGCCTTAATCTTGAAACCGGTCTGCTTAGCTAGCTAGGACCATGTAGTTCCAAGACAGATTGCAGCCTAAACGGGAACAACATGTATTTAAATCGCATGTTGTAGTTGTTTTTTATGGCATCTCATGTTATATCTTGAATTCCTCCTAGATTTATTATTTATTATGTCATAAGATTTTCAGTAGTAAAGGAAAAGTGTTGTAGTTTTTAAAAATTCTGGATAGGACTTTGGGAGACCAAGGCCAGAGGATTGTCTGAGCCTACAGGTTCATGACCAGCCTGGGCAGCATGGTGAGACCTCCTCTCTACAATAAATCAAAGAATAAGCCGGGTGTGGTAGTGTTCGCCTGTAGTTCTGGCTACTTGAAAGGCTGAGGCAGAAGGATCGCTGGAGCCCAGCAGGTCGATGCTGGGGTGACTGTGAACGTGCCACTGTACTCCAGCCTGGGCGATTGAGTGAGACTCCAGCTCAAAAAAAAGAAAAAAATATTCTGGATAGGCTGGTAATTAGCATGTTTGGCACACCTCTGAGTGTGTACACTGGTTTCATTTTCTGTAAACTTCAAGAAGATTGATATTGATGGTTGCCTATTTGATACTGTCACAATAAAATAAATAATAATATTTTCTTTTAAAGACCCAAAACAACTTCAAAGACATGGAATGACACCTAAAGCATCCAACAGTTGAGAACATTATTTAGATGTTTATATAATTTCGGTGAGGAGGGAATTAAAAACTTGACTTTCTCTTTAATATACTTTCATGGTCTTTAATTTTTTCTAAAGATACATATGATTTTATAGACTCTTCCCATCACTATTGTCGGGCAGAAGTTATTCATTGAGTGATTATTGTGTATAAGCTGCTTTTGTGGATGACATAGTTTTTATTTTGAACTAGGACTCCATGATGTGTGTATGCATGTTTAAATTTAAAAGAAAGAGGGAGAAGGAGGGGAGGGATACAGGGAAGCACAATAGGAAGGAAAGGATTACTGCCATTAGCATTTTATGAGCTCTTTTCTTCTGAAGCATAAGGTAAGCCTGGAGGAGGAAATGTCAAGTAAAATTGCTACAAATCATTAAGTGAAAATTCCTCAAAGAGTTCTCTGTGTGTTTGTTTATAATATTTTGTGAGACGATTACTAGAAAATATGTTAAAACTCTTTAGATAGGTTTTTCTTTAATATTCTGGTCTCTAATTTTGCATGTTGTAGTCTCTGATTTTTTATTATATAATGTGTTTTTCTTTTCTCAATAGAACCTCTTTATTACTGGCAACAGACTGAAGATGACTTGACGGTAACAATACAGCTTCCAAAAGACAGTACTAAGGAGGATATCCAAGTATGGTTTTTGCCTGATCACATCAGCATTGTGCTGAGGGATCACCAGATTTTAGAAGGAAAGCTCTATTCATCTGTTGATCATGAATGCAGTACATGGATAATTAAAGAGAATAATAGGTATTTTTATAGTTTTATTTATACTTAACATTTTGGTTTTTTACTATTTTGCCTTCACAGTGGTTACATAAAAGGTAAATATAGTAGTTCTGTCTGTATTGCTAATTTTTTTCTTAAGATGGATTAAAACATAATTATTGCATCAAAGAGCATAATTGTAGTTGATATTAAAGGTAGGATAGTTACCACATGCAGTATATAATAATGCTTTTCATTACCAGCTTTGGGTACAATAATAATAAAAATAAAATGTTAGGTAAAAATGGTTATGTATTTTAAAATCTTTTAATAGAAATAGTTTTTTTCTATTAACTTTAGTTTACTGACTGATTAATATGTCCTCATTTTTAAAAATTTAGAATATATAAAGGATATATAGTGAGGAATGTCCCTCCAATGCAGGCCTGCCAGTCAACTGTTATCCTTCCATGCCCCACAGTCTTGTTAGTTTTCTTCCATGGGTATTTTGTATATATTCAAGCAGCATGTATATCTTTTCTTTTTTAAGAAAAACAGTTTTTTTGGCACATGCTATGTAGTTATATAACTGGCTTTTGTTCACTTTCAACAATAAATCTTGGAGATCTTTCCATAATGAATATGTAACAATTTTTTAGTTCTTTTTTATGACTTCATAGTGTTTTACTCTATTAGCTACACCATTATTCTTAAAAATGATGCTATTGTTATACATTTAGGTTGTTTTCATTCTTCTGCTATGGTGAATAATTTCGTGTGTGTGTGTGTGTGTGTGTGTGTGTGTGTATTTCACATATGTGGCAACATATATAAAGGATATATTTCTACAAGTGGAACAATGAATATTTCTTTGAAAATTGTAGCACATACATATTTCTCTTATGTAAATTGTACATTTTCATTTCTTTTGTGAATTATGTGTTCAGGATACAAAACCATAAAGAAAATATAGGATAAATTGGACTTTTTCAAAACAAAAATTTTCTATATATAAAAATTGAATATTTTTCTTCTTTAAAGATCCCACTAAGAGAACAAAAGGGCAAGCCATGGACCGGAAAAAAAAATATTGACAATACTTATCTCAAGCAAAGGACTTGCATTCTCAGTAAGTCCTTCAAATTCATAATCAAATGTAAGGGAACCCTACAAATTCATAATAAAATGACAACGCAATTTTAAAATGATCAAATAATTTGAATAGATGCATCAGAATAGAAGATATATGAATAGTTAGTTAGCACATGAAAAAGTGATCATCGGCTGGGCATGGTGTCTCAAGCTTGTAATCCCAACACTTTGGGAGGCTGAGGTGAGAGGATTGCCTGAGCCCACGAGTTCAAGAACAGCTTGGGCAACTTGGCAAGACCTTGTTTCTACAATAATCCAAAAATTAGCCAGGCAAGGTAGCACATGCCTGTAGTTCTGGCTACTTGGAAGGCTGAGGTGGAAAAATCGCTGGAGCCCAGCTGATGGAGGCTGGGGTGGCCAAGAGTGTGCCACTGCACTCCAGCCTGGGCAACAGTGAGACACCAACTAAAAAAAAAAAAAAAGGTGATCATCATTAGTCATTAGGAAAATTAGAGCCAGAGTGAGACACTAATGTATGGTTAAAACTGAAAAGATAAATTTTGGCAAGGATGTGGGGCACCTGCAACTTGGGTACATCTAGTGAGAGTGTAAAATAATATAGCCACTTTGGCACTGTTGAGCAGTTCCTTACCAAGTTAAATATATACCTACTCTGAACCCAGCAACTCTACTATTTAATGTTTGCCCAAGAGAAATGAAAATATGTGTTAAAAAACAAAACAAAGCCAAACTAATTTGTAAAAACATTTATAGCAGCTTTCATATAAAAACTAAAAACTGAGAATGACTCTAATGTTCATGGAAAGGTGAATGGATAAATACATGTAACATATTCATACAATGGAGTGCTACACTGCAACAAAAAAGAAAGAACTGCTGATAGAGTAGCATAAATGAATAAAAAATTTGTGGTATGAAATAAACCATAGACAAAAATTACATACTGTATGATGTGGAGTTCTAGAACTGGCAAAACTCACCTGTGATGGTACAGATCAGAACAGTGATTACTTCTAGGGTGTAGGAGATTGATAGGCAAAGGATACATAGGAACTTCCTGCATGGTAGAAATATGTTAGTATCTTTGCTGGGTTACAAATATGTGCATTTTTCAAATTCAGTGAATTCTACACTTAAAAATCTGTGAGTTTTATTTATAAATCACACTTCAATAAAGGGAGTAAAAGTATGTATTTTAAAGAGGAAAACAAACTGTCTTATAAGACTCTAAAAATCCTGTCTCCACCGCCATGCCTTTTTGCAAATCTGTTGTTCCAGATACTTCACTCCCCAATCATTTGGATTAATAAAATTACTGTCAGTTATTATAGATCAAACCTTAGTAATTACTAAATTCAGTGACAGATTAATTAATAATATTAGGCTCTTATTTTTTTTTAATGGTCAAATTTGCTCAAAAAGTGTGTATTTGGTTGATTTAAAATACAACCTAAATCTTCTGACTTAAGTTAATGTAGATATTTTTACATGAAGTATAGTTCTTGTTTAGTAGCATATGATCTGTGAATCTTCTGTGAGTCTAAATCACAGAAGTCTCAGAAATATACAAAAGGTGCCAAAAAAAAGTATACACAGTTTAAGAAAGGAAAATACTTTATTAAAATTGTAATACTCTATATATACCGATAACAAAAGATAAATACAAGTCACATTTTATTTCTACAATTACAAGAGGTGCACATTGTTTGGTAGACTTCTGTGATGGGTGTGTAAACTGTTCCTACACTATAGCAGAAGAAACAGGACTTGCTGCTGTGTGAGGCCTTCTGGATCTTCCCTTTTGCACATCACACACAGTACCACATGTCTCAAACCTATCACAAATGCATGCAATTGCTAGGTGTGTTGGAGGTTCTGTTGCATACTCACACCCCCATTGTTGTACTTCCACAGCGTTCTCAGATTTCAATACCATGTCAAAATGGTCTTGCACTCCTCAAAATGGTCTTGCACTCCTCGAACAACAATCGTGCTTCTTCCATTTTATTTGACTGTCCTGCCTGTCACATGGTGATGCTAGCATTCGTTTGATTAATGCCATCTTTGCGGTGAATATCATATACATACACATAGCTACCGTAATTCAGTTCAACTTTGAAAAGTAATACATAGATCAAGTAATACATCTCTTTTATTTTAAATGTGTATTCATTTTTTCTGGTCTTTCTAGGTCAAAGAAAATTTGAAGTTTTAAAAGCGGGTATCTTAAATTCATTTTATTTATAGAGACATTGGTGACTTGGTTACACTTTTTAATATATCAAAAGCAATTATTTGAAAGTTTCTTTTAAAAATATGTCATATCTCCACATATTCTGTTTAATCATATTTATGTGTATGTGAGAGATTTATGGGTAGCATTTGTGAATCTGCTAACCAATTAGAACATTGTTAAATGTAAGACATCAAGCAGGTACCCAACTGAGGCCTAGAGGAATATTTTCAGCATTCATTATGTGAACATAGACCGGTGTTTTTCCATTAAATTTAAGGTGTTTGAATACTATGTTGTGTTTCAAAAGATAACTACAATGCAGTGTAGGTGTTATCTTGGGCTTAAGAACACATGATTTTCTGTACTTGATTAAATTTTTCATATCTCATTCAAATGGTTAATGTTCTCTCACATTGGAAAGATTTCCTAACTAGTCTGTAGTGAGTACATATGGCATTGTGTATTTCTTTTGCTTGGATAGTAGCATATGGTGCTAGTTTTCAAATATAGAAATGCAGTCATGGAAAAGGGGTTGTACTGACTAGGTGTGCATATTAATGATAGTTGGGAAATGCTTTATAACTCAGATTGTATGAACTCTTTCAAGCCTCTTATAGGTAGCAACTAAGAACATTATTTATCCTTTCTGGTCAGTGGGTAAAAATTCTTTAATAGTTATTTATATATATATTTTCAGAGAGTCAGAATAGTACAGCTGTGAAGAACATGGACTTGGATCCAGACTATTTTACTAGGTTGTGACCTTGCCAAGTTGCTTACCCTCTCAGTGCTTGTTTTTTCCTTGCTTGTAAAATGCAGATGATAATAGTACTTACAGAACTTTATTTGGTTGTGGGGAGCAATAACTGAGTTAAAACATGTAAAGTCTTAAGACAGCATCTGGCATATAGGTAAGTATAAGGTGTTGTCATTATTATTATCCTTCTTATCATCATCATTATCAAGATTAACCTTTTCTTTAGAAATATAGCTAAATGTGGACATTATTGATTAGGCTAGTAATTTTCAGTGCTAATGATAAGAACTCATTACATAAGAAAAATGTTATTTTGTATAGTCTCTTAAATAGTTTTCAGAATATTTTTAAATACTGTAATTCATGAGATGGGGATAATAACAGCCTTTAAAAAGAGTTGCTGATAAGTTTGCATTTCTACTTAGTAATAATTATTATAATAGTTATTTTATTGTATTGTGCAGTTGTATGCTTGCAATTGTGCTCCAGGGCATGGGTTAGTGCGGCGTACATGTAGTCGTGTTGGCATGTGAAAAAGGTCGCTTTGCTATGGCACAGCTACCACCACTCCACTTTTCTCTCTGTTAAGCAACGTCTGTTCCCAAAGTATCTTACTTGGACTTCCTTCCTATTCCAGAGGAACATGAGCCAACTTCCTTATTTTCCATGTCTGTAATCTGCCCTGACTCAGCTCAGTTTTCCTTTCTTGCTGCTTCCAGCCTTGATCTCAGGATTTCTGACAGGCCCTTTGTAATGCATTTGGAATTTTTGTTTAATGACTTAAATGTACAGAATTATACAGAATCAGATTTTAAATAAGTTAGAAAAAACATTGACATCTTTTTTCCTATATTGCCAAAGTTAAACTTTTTCCTAATTCCTATACTTCTTTTCAATTCTTTGAAATTTGTGCTATAAAAATTAAGATTTGCACTGACTTAACCTGCCTGATGTTTAGATTAATAATCGTGTATTGTGGCTGTTAGTTTGCAAAAACAAAGTTGATTATTGGTTCTAGACACAAAGAGAGCTCCTTTAGTTACAGTCCCTTTCCTGTTTGCTTACACGCTCATACCCGTGACCAACCCCTCCACCATTCCCCAAATGTCTCTTAGGTCTATTCTTCTTACATTCCCTCACTTAAGTTCAGTAACACACTCACTGCACACCTAGACTGCAGCAGTACTTTTTGGGAGGTCTCACTCATACCAGTCACACCTCTCTTTAAGCCAGTTGCTGTAACATTTCCAGTGGCACTTTCTTGTTTATTAAATCTAAGTTATTTACCCTTGGATAATAGGTTTTTCACCACATGCAAAACTAAAATAAACAAGATTGTTGGTAACACACCCTGCAGACACTAGAGAGTTCATCTCTATAGATGAATCTTCTATTTGTTATGGATTGTATAATTTGTAGACTTGCATAGTATAACATGACTTCTCTCATTTAAATTTCTAGCTTGGAGATTTCTTTGATCAAAAAGAATGAAGGACTGACATGGCCAGAGCTAGTAGTTGGTGATAAACAAGGGGAGCTTATAAAAGACTCAGCCCAGTGTGCTGCAATAGCTGAACGTTTGATGCATTTGACATCTGAAGAACTGGTAAGCAGTTGCAATAATAGTGTGACTTTTCAAAGACCCGAAAGTGTGTTATGTGAGGATATGCATGCTTTTCAAACATTATTTTCCTTTTCTTAATATAAAAGATACAAATCAGTTATTACTGACCTGACTGATGTTTGACTATGGCTTAAAGTTCTAATATTTATTTCCTATGCCATATAAATACGTACATATATATAAGTATATATTGTATAGGGAATGTATGTGAGTGCATGTATCTCTTCCTCTCTACATATAGTCTTCTTTAGAAGAATCTACTGACTAGTGCTAGTAGGAACAAAAATTATAATTTTACAATCTATTTGCTAATAATCTGCTCATTGTTGAAATTTTGAGGTGATCTTAGAATACCTCAAGTATATATGTATCATATATAGTACAGTTACTTTTGGCTTATAAAGTAATTTATTATAATGATGACAGTGACAACACAATACATATCAAGCGTGAGATTAAATATGTCCCCATTTTAATGACTTGTAAGACCATGTTAAGAATTAAAACAGGTCGGGCTTGGTGACTCAGCCTATAATCCCAGCACTTTGGGAGGCCGAGGTGAGTGGATTGCCTGAGCTGGCAGGTTCAAGACCCACCCCGGCAACTTGGCAAGACCTTGTGTCTACAATAAATAACAAAAAACTAGCTGGGCGTGGTAGCGCATACCTATAATTATGGCTACTTGGAAGGCTGAGGCGGAAGGATCACTGGAGCTGCAGTAGCCAGTAGTGTGCCACTGCACTCCAGTCTGGGTGACAGAGTGAGACTCTAACTCAAAAAAAAAAAAAAAAGAATTAAAACAAATACAGCAATATGTCAGAGTTTCAATTACATGTTCATTTCCAAAACTGTATCAGCATATGTTATATTACTGATTTATTTCCATCTTCAATTATAATGATGAACTAGGCTATATAAAGGATTATTAAGCTGCATCCTAAGGTAGAAAAGAAGAACAGAAGAATTAGAATATTGAAAGTAAATGTCTGTATCAAAAGGAAATATGATTAAAATAGGGAAACTAAATTTCATGATTGTCAACAGTGTTTGAAAATTTTAGGAATCTCTGGAACTCATATGTAGGATTACAAATCTTTGATTTTATAGCCCTGTTTATATTAAGCCATGCAGACTTCATTGCCTTATGTTCATTCATTCAACAAGTACTTACTGTGATAGGCCCTGAGGATATAATAATAGTATAGTAGTGCAGGCTTGTTTTGAGTTTGTAAATAATGGCTGTTAACTACTTTTTAAACTCGGTGTTTTCACATGACTATTGGTGTTTATGAGAAAGTTATTAATGACTGGGCACCAGTATGTTTGTTAAATTTTAAAAAGACAAGCATAGTATCTTGTCATCTGCAACTGAAGGCAGTTTTGTGTTTTTCAAATCTTTATACTTACCTTACTGAAGTGATTAGGACCACTAAGCCATTGTTACATAGAAATTATTAATAATATAAACAGACATTCTTGCCTTGTTTGTGATCTTTAGGGAGAGAATGACTTTTATCATTAAGTGGGATAGATTCTTTCCATCACATAAAGAAAATCTCCTTTTATTCCTAGTGTGGTGAGAGTTTTTATCATGAATGATCATAGAATTTTCTGCATTTGTGGGATAAATTCCGCTTAATTATGATGTATTATCCTTTTTACATATTGCTGTATTTGATTTGATTGGGTATTTTGTTTTGTTTTTTACTGTCTTTTGTTTAATTGTGGTGTCTAGGTAGTGATAACTTCATAAAATGATTAGGGAAGTGTTCCTTCTATTTCTGGACGAGATTGTATAGCAGTAGTGTTATATATTCTTTAAATGTTTGGTGAAATTTGTCAGCAAAACCATCTGGGTCTGGAGTTTTCTTTTTTTGGAAGACTTTTGAGTGTGAATTTAATTTCTTTAATAGATAGAAGACTATTTTGGGCATCTATTTCCATTGACTGTCTTTTTTTTTCTTTCCAGTTTTCAATTTCTTTATTTCTGTTACTGCATTTATTATTTTCTCCCTTTGCTTACCTGGAATTTATTTGGGTTTTTTTATTGTTATTTATTTTTGAAGGTGATAACTTAAGTAGTTGATTATTTTTACCTTTCCTTTTCTTTTCTTTTTTCAGAAAACAAGATTTATTGAGAGGACAGAAAAGCTCCCACAGTGGGAGGGGACCTGAAGGGATTCCCCTGACCTTTCTTTTCTAATGAAAGTGTTTAAATGCTGCACACTTCCTTCTAAACACTACTTTAACTGCATTCTTTACATTTTCAGTCTACTTTCTTAATCCCATTAGGGACTTATTTGAGATGATGGCTGGGTTTCAGTCTTTTTTTCCTGGCTGATGTATTCCTTGTTTGTTTTTACTCCTAAGACAAAACTTTTCATTTATTTTAACTGAAAGCTTAGGATACCAGGATTTCTCTTTCTGGGTGGACCCTGAACTCTAAGCACTTTGATAATACCCAGAATCTAGTTCTTTGACCCCTTATTTGCTGCTTTTCATTTGTCTTTTTATTTTTTATTTTATTTATTTATTTACTTATTTATTTATTAATTTGAGTTGGCGTCTCACTCTGTTGCCCAGACTGGAGTGCAGTGGCTGCTCCTGGTCACCGCAGCCTCGACCTGCTGGGTTCCGGCGATCCTTCCGCCTCAGCCTTCCAAGTAGCTGGAATTACAGGCATGCGCTACCATGCCCAGCTGATTTTTTGATTTATTGTAGAGATGAGGTCTCACTGCCCAGGCGGGTCTCGAACCCGCGGGCTCAGGCAATCCACTCACCTCAGCCTCCCAAAGGCATGGGATTACAGGCTGAGCCACTGAGCCCGGCTCATTTGTCTTTTTAAATCCAGGTTGGAAATCAGTAAATGGACCTTGGAAATCAACATAGTGTATTCAACTCTGCAATTTTCTTTTCTCTGTAGTCGTCTTGTCTGTTAAGTGCTGGCTGCCTTGATAGTCCTGAACTTTTCATTTTTCCTATCCTCTAATATATGGATAATTGGAAGGAGATGGGAAGGAGAAATGTGGAGGGTGACTTCTGTAGTCTGTTGGACACAAATATCTCCTTGAGTCACTGTGATAGAATGGTGGAGATTGCTGGAAGTACCTTTACAGCCAGCCACAGCAACCATAATTGTTCCCACTGATACTTAGCCTGGAGCCATTACCCACAGCTAGGTGGTTCCATATCCCAAATGGGATATGGACAGATTCTATAGAACTTCCCAGCTATTTAGTTTCAGACAGACTCCCTTAGTCATTTTATTAAATCCTCAATAACATGAGAATTAACATAACTGTGTTTTGGTAAACTAGGCGTGTGCACATTTGGTCAGTTGTAGAATTGTATTTCTCATATATGCAAGTATATGTAGTTTATTGCTTAATTATTGTGATTCTGTTACTCTGTGATGAATATAAGACCAGACAGCGATCCTGTCATTTAAGCAAGGGAACATTTTAAGATTACTTCTATGATTTTATTTATGTCTGCTTTCGGCTTATTACTGTCAATACTTCTGTGTTTTTGTTTGAATAGATATGTGTATGTGTGTGTATGTAGTGGTTGTTCTAGAGTTTACAGTATATATTTTTTACTTATAACCATTAAAAAAATAATATAGCACTTTACTTATAATTTAAGAATTTTATAGTATATCTCCATTCCTCCATCCTTTGGATATATTGTCTTACATTTTGTATACTCCTTGTTATGAATTTTATAATACATTATTTTATCCATAGTCAGTTAATTCTCTTAAAGAGCTTAAAAATGTGGGGAAATAATCTTTCATTTACTCACATATTTGCCATTTTCTCTAGTCTACATTTCTTTGTGTTTATTCAGATTTACGTCTGATGTCATTTTTTTTCTGACTGAAAAACTTTCTTTAGCATTTCTACTAAGGTAGGGTTGCAGGTGATAAATTGTCTTAGCTTTTGTTTGTGAAAATATTTATCTTATTTTTCCTTTTTCACAGTTATTTTTACTATATAATTCAATGTCGACAGTTTTTTCTTACCTTTTCAGATCTTCAAATATACTTCATTGTATTCTGGCTTACATAGTTTCTAGTGAGACGTTAACTGTCTTTTGTATTTTTGTTTCTCTGCACATAATGTGTTTCTTTCTCCTCTGTCTGCTCTTAGAATTTTATTTTCTATTACTGCTTTTCAACAATTTTATTATAATATGACTTTCTGTGATTTTTGCCTTTAAAAAATGTTTGTTATGCTTGGGATTCTTGGACATTTTTTAATCTATATGATTATAGTTTTCATCAACTTTTTAAAAAATTTTGATCATTTTTCACAGCTTTTTTCCATTCTTCTTTCCCTCTTCCAATTGCCCATATGCTAGACCATTTGATGTTGTTCCACAGTTCACTGATTTCTCTGTTTTTATGTTTTGTCTTTGTGGTTCATGTTATGTATAGTCTCTTGTTTCTGCAATGTCTTATCAGCTGTCTAGTTCATCTGTTGTTTTTCATTTTAGATTTGTGTTTTCATAACTAGAAGTTCAGTTTGGTTCTTTCTTATTTCTTCTCCCCTCTCTCTCTATGTGTTCATGTTTTCCTTTACATCTTTGAGTATACACAGTATGTTCAGAATAGCTATTTTAATGTCTTTTTCTGCTGACTCCATTTTATTTCTGTTTCTGTTTTGATTATGTTTCCATTGGTCAGGGGTTTGATATTAGTCTGTAATTATTGCTGTAATTGTAACATGGATGAAGACATCTGTTCCTTTATTGCTGTTTGTTTGTTGGTTTTACTTATCTACTTATTTTATTTTCTGGTCTAAGAATCCAAATCCAGATAAAGAAAAACCTCCTTGTAATGCACAGGAGTTAGAAGAATGTGATATATTCTTTGAAGAGAGCTCCAGTTTATGCAGATTTGATGCCAAGACTTTAAAATCTACTCATGTGGTAAGTTCTTGATACTAATATTTCTTTTTTTTAGTGAGAAAGCAGGATTTATTGAGAAGATATAACAGCTTCCAGGGGAGAGGGGAATGGAAGGGGTTGCCTGATACTAATATTTCTAAATAAATAAATGAACTAAATAAAGAAATCTAAAATTTTATGAATAAATAAGCTCAGATGATAATTGAATGATCAAGTTTATGTTTTGCAAAGATTGGTAATTATTGAATGTATAAATCTCATCAGTTCATAAAGTATTTTCTTTCTGTATCACCACACTCAATAAAACAGTGTTGTATTGTTTTGGTGGGTATTGATACTTTCAACTGGCTTTTCTTCTGTGTAGATTTTTAATGTTCAGTCGTGACCCTGTAATGTATAATAAATTCGCATCTGCTTTTTTCATTTAACATTATGGATATAAGCAGTTCCTCATGTTACTTTAATTTCTGGTCTAATGGTTGATTTTACTTTGATTTTGGCCGTGTGTGTGTGTGTGTGTGTGTGTGTGTGTGTGTGTGTATGTATGTGTGTGTGTTTAGTGATTGTTCTACACATTACAATGTAACTTCTTTAATAACTTTTTAAAGCTGCATTGTGATTATGCTATTTTTAAAAATCCCTGTATCACATGAGGCCTTTTCTATATTCGGACATGTTTCTCGAATACAGAGTTACACTGATTTTTCACTTTATAGTCTCATTCACAATGTTTGCAAATATTGCCTGTTTCATTGCATCTTTACCTTCACTTTTTTATTTGATTTTTACCAATTGGTGTGTAACATACAGGATTTTGTTTTGATCTGTGTTTTATTTACTGTTAGCTGTTTCATGTATTAACTATTTCTTATTTGTGAAGATTTGTTTTCAGTTATTTGTCATTATTTCTTACTCATTTATATAAGCTGTTTAAATTTGGAAAGTTGTTTAAAGTTGTTTATGTGAGAACAGTTACTAGCAAATCAGTGGCTAATTTGGAGCTGTGCATGTAGAAATTAATTTAGTCTCATTACTAAAAATCAGAAGTGATGGGATTTAGGAGACTTGGTCCAAGCAAAAGCAACCAAGGAGATTGAGAACAATTTGACCCTTTGTTATTTTGTTTTTAGACCTTTTCCTATACCTTTCAGTCTCCCCGTTCTTACTCAATCGCTTTTAATTGAAGAGCTAACAGTGTCGTCAGATTGTCATATCCAATCTGAGTTCTGATCCAAAGCTCAGGTAATCAGAGCTGTTTCAATTTTCTAGAAATTTAGATTATCAAAGTTCTTTGAGTCTTTGCTATAGGGTTCAAAGGCTCTATTTTCAAGAAAAATCTTGGAAATTTCTGTCAAGTTTGGCCTGATGTTTCTTTGTCATGAGGAAGTTTGGGGGAAAGTATTTTAGAATTTATGGAACCAAAATTGAAAGCTTCATGGGAACTTGATTTACCAGATCTAAGTTCCAGTTTAACATCTTACTTGTCAAAAAAAAAATCTACCTCTTCCCTTCATTTACTATCCCTTTGTAGTCTTTATTTGGTACTTATACTAGCTTTTTAAAAAGTAATGGCTGGACATTAATTATTACTCAAAGAAGTTATAAAAATGAGCCTTTCTAGATTATACCTGTGTAGGAAAATGAAATGAAGTGGTATAGAACCAATGGCTAGGCAAAGGGCCATTGAAGCTATACCAAAATTAAGTACTTGCTCTTACAACTAATTTTTATCTCTGCACCGCTTTCTTCCTCACTACCCTATAATATCAGTAAGTTCGAAAAAGTGGGCAAATGAATGACACCTTGCTCACCACTGTATCCCCATCACCTATCAAGGGATCTGATTCATATTTGATGCTTAATAATTTTTTTAGATTGATCTCTTAGTGATGGTCATTAAAATAAAAAATGTATTAGGTTCATCTTAGATCTCAAGACATTTCCCTATACCTTTCAGTGCCCCCCTTCTTACTCAATCACTTCTAATTGAAGAGTTAACAGTGTTGTTGGTCAGATTGTCATATCCAATCTGAGTTCTGATCCAAAGCCAAGGTTATCAGAGTGATTTAGAATTTCTGGAAGTTTTACTTCCAAGATGTTATTTATTTCTGACATAGTTCCATAGATGGTTCCCTTAATTTTGAGTAAATGAGGGTCCTCACACCGCTACTCTTCTCTGTATTGCCTTGGGTTAAAGTTTAGAGAATTACTCTCAAGTGTGACTAATAAGAAGACTCTTGAATCTGACTAACTGAAGATTAGTTGTTCTTGTACTGAAAAATCTGGCCACTCTTCCTAAAGTTCTAGTTTTTGGAGCATAATTCCTAGGTACTGTTTTCTACCCAAGGGAAGACACCTGATCTTAGATGTCATACAATACTGTTATTTAAACTTAGCTTCTCTGAGAATTTCAGTTTGTCTTATTACTGCTCAGTAGTGTTGATCTATAGTTTAATGTTGGTGTCTGAAAGGCCCCCAATTAACAATCTCTCCATTTCCTGTGTTTGAGTATATTGCTTAAAACCAAAGAGTAAAAAAGGACCAAAATACAATTTTTATCACTGACAAATTACAGTACCAAAACCTAGTGCATCTATTTATTAAACTCTGGATTTTAACAGATTTAACCATAGTCACAGGCAATTTAAGTCAACTCTGGCTACCTATGGAAGAGCCATGAAGACCTCTTATTTTCTGACACCTCTTGCTCCTTAAAAAAGTGATATAACTGAGCAGAATATATCCAGATGTTTTTATATTCCAACCAGATGTCACTTGAATCATCAGGAGTTTATAAAAACTAGAATGTCATAGTAGTGGATTTTCTCAGTGTTGTAGATATAAACATCAAGAGTAGGCAAGTAGTATAATATAATAAACAGAGACAATCTTTCCAACTTTGAAGATACTATAGATCTGTATAACTTACTATATTTCATCCTCTTCATTTCACAGATGCATTAAACCAAGCTGAGGTAGAAAAGTTTGTATGAGATCAAAGACAAAGTCATTATTACAAAGTAGATCTGTTGGGCTTCCAGTATGCTTTGTCATACTTTTTCCTAAACACAAGGATTGTAAATTTCTGTTTGGAGATCCTAAGCCACTACAGCAGTCCCTACTTCTGAATAAAATGTGTTCCTAAGGAATCTGAATAAGAGTTCTGTGATAAACAGTTTCTAGCCTCAGAAAATTAAGAAATATACAAATGAACCGTTATTGTACTACAATAGTTTTTAGAGACAGTCTTTTTTTTGTTTGTTTAGAGACAGGGTCTCACTATGTTGTCCAGACTGGTCTTGAACTCCTGTCCTCAAGTGATCCTCCCACCTTGACCTTACACAGTGCTGGGATTATAGACATGCACCATTGCACCTGTCCTAGAGACAATATTTGATGAAACATTTCCAGCATTTTGTACATATTTTTAAACTTTTAAATCACAATTCAGGGTTTAATTGCTGGCTTAAGTTTAACTAGTGTATGATTAAAGCTAAAGTAATATTTGTTTCAGTTGGGTTAAATTTGAGACCAAAGTTTATTTTAATAATTGTAAGCACTTTGATTTTTTATTATTAGTCATTTTTATAAGTATTAACAAAAATACAATGAAGTAAAAATGCAGAAACATTTTAGTTGTGTATAAGTAGAATGGATCTGAACGGAACAGCTCCAACAGAGTAATACATCCATCTTCTTTCTTAAAGCAGATTGGTGTATTAGTATTTGTATTATGTAAAAGTCAATTTGTACCTGCTCAAATGTTACATGTTCAAAAATAGTTTCTTAGTGTACCCAAGAGGACACCAGTTGGCTTGTCTTTAGAGGAAGGGAATTAAGGAAGCTACGATATTTTGGATGTCTCAGTGGTACATCTACTTTAGGAACCAAACAAAACTTCTTTATGGACAATTTGTACTCTAAATCTTACTCTTTCTGCAGTGTTTACTTCAGGTTCTCTCTTCTTGATTCCATCTGTCATGACTTTGGACAATTTGAAATTACCTTACATGGAAAGGTTAGTGTCTGTCCTTATAGTTAAAAAAAATTACTGTAACAAAAAGGTCAGAACTCTATATTTTGAATGACAGATTTTCCAAATTGTTTCCCTAAAAGAAATGGATGTTAGGGTTAGAATTTGCCATTTGGAAAATAAAATGTTAGGTAAATATATGAAGCAGCAAAATAAATACCAGAACTGAATTAAAAAAGTAATAAGATATGTACAAAAAGTAATAAGATAATTTATACTGAGGTGTAAAGTTCAAATCAGAATTCAGATAGAGTTGAAGATGAATTGCTTTTACTTCTAAGACAAAAGGCATGTACTCTATAATATTAATTCTTTCAAGAAGATACTAAGGATAGGATCCTAAGTTGTAGAGCAGGGTAATGCATCTAAAAGTTATCAAAACCAGACTAGGCATGGTGGCTTATGCCCTATAATCCCAGCACTTTGGGAGGCCAAGGCAGGAGTATCACTTGAGGCCAGGACTTCAAGACCATCTTGGGCAACATAGCGAGACCTGGTCTCTACAAAAGACAAAAGAAAAAAAAAACAATTTAGCCAGGTATGGTGGTGTGCGTCTAATAGTCCTAACTATTCAAGAGGCTGAGATAAAAGGATTGCTTGAGCCCAGGAGTTCAGGACTACAGGGAACCATGATAGCACTACTCTACGCCAGCCTGGACTACACAGCTAGACCCTGTCTCCAAAAATAAATAAATAAAAAGAAAATATCTAATCCAGTGGTTAGATACTTTTGCATTCTTAAAGGTCAGAACCCCTTTACATCCTTAAGCTTTTTGGTGTACTTAATTTTTATATTTGGATTTGATCTATCAAAATTTATCATATTTGAAATTAAGAAATTTTAAAAATATTAATTAAAAAATAGCCCATCATTTGTTAATATAAATATTTTTAATGAAAATAAGGACATTTTCCAAAGCCAAAGTAAAAGAGAAATTCCGTGGTTTTACATATTTGCAGATCTCATTATTGTCTGCATTAATATAGT